ACTCTGTCACCCAGGCTGGAGTGCAATGGCATGCCTATGGCCACTGCAGCCTCGACCTACTGGATTCAGGTGATCCTTTCTCCTCAGCCTTCCAAGTAGTTAGAATCACAGGCATGCGCCACCATGTCTGGCTAATTTTTTGATTTATTGTAGCGACGAGGTCTCACCATGTTGCTCAGGCTGGTCTTGAACCCCTGGGCTCAGGCAATTCTCTTGCCTCTGCCTCCCAAAGTGCTGGGATTGCCAGTGTGAGTCATCATATCTTATTATGAATTTTTTTGAATTATATTTTAGTAAGAAAAAAATGTTTTTGAGTTTTCTAATGACTCTTTAGGGTTCTGGCCCTTATTTATTTATTTGAGTTGGAGTTTCACTCTGTCACCCAGGCTGGAGTTCAGTGGCATGCTTCATGGCCACTGCAGCCTCGACCTGTTGGGTTCAGGTGATCCTTCCACTTCAGCCTTCTAAGTAGCTGGAACTACTTGTGCACGCCACCATGCCTGACTAACTTTTTGATTTATTGTAGAGATGAGGTCTCACGATCTTGTCCAGGCTGGTCTCGAACCTGTGGCCTCAGGCATTCCTCTTGCCTCAGCCTCCCAAAGTTTTGGGATTACAGGCACGAGCCACTGTGCCTGGCCTTCTACAAAAACTTTTTAAAAAAATTAATTGGGTGTGGTGGCACATGCCTGTAGTTCCAGCTACCTGGGAGGCTGAGGCAGGAGGATAGCTTGAGCCCAGGAGTTCAAGGCCACAGTGAGCTATGATCATAGCACTGCACTCCAGCCTGGGTGACAGAGTGAGACTCTGTTTCTAAAAAATAAGTAAAATAAAATAACTAAATATTACAATTTTATATTAGAGCTATTTAATTTCTTTGATAACAATCTGTACCAGAAGTGAGATTACATTTAATATAATATAAATCCATTTAATTAGGAACTGAATTGGCATATTCATTACTTTTTGGGCAACACTGTACAAAGCTTGGACAATAGTGAAACAAAACAATGGGAACTATTCTTTTTTTTTTTTTTGAGTTGAAGTCTCACTCCGTCGCCCAGACTGGAGTGAAGTGGCACACTCACGGTCACCCCAGCATCGACCCACTGGACTCCAGTGATCCTTCTCCATCAGCCTTCCAAATAGCCGGAACTATAAGCGTGCACTACCCCACCTGGCTAATTTTTGATTTATTGTGGAGACAAGGTCTCACAAAGCTGCCTGGGCTGGTCTCGAACCCGTGGGCTCAGACAATCCACTTGCCTTGGCCTCCCAAAGTGCTGGGATTATAGGCTGAGCCACTGAGCCTGGCCCAATAGGAACTACTAAAGAACTTTACCAATAAAGTGTTTTCTGACAAGGCAACTTACATCTCTCACATGCTGTAGTTTTATCCTCTTAATATACTCTCTAAAGGCAATATCTTGTGAGATTGTTTGATGCCCATGGGGTCTGCTGGTGACTGTATGTGTAATTTGCATTATGGATTCCAGGATTTTTTGGTATTGTGTATAATCCATGCTGTTTGAATTTTTTTTTTTTAAAGAAGGATTTATTGAGAGGAAAAAAGAGCTCCCACAGTGAGAGGGGACCCAAAGGGGTTGCCCTGTTTGAAGTTTTTTAGTCTCATTCCTACAACATTTCATTGATTCAGTTGATAGATTCATTCTTCACACATTTATCGTGTACCTAGTTTTGTATAAGGCATGAGCTAATTACAGGAGAACCTTTGCTGTCCAAGAGTTGCCATGTGGCTGGGGAGAGAGGACACACAACACCTAGACTTTTTTGTTGTTGTTGGGGTCTCACTCTGTCACCTAAGCTGGAATGCAGTAGCATGATCACGGATCACCCGTCTTGACTCCCTAGGTATAGGTGATCTCCTGCCTCAGGCTCCCAAGTAGCTGGGACTACAGGCACATGCCACCATGCCTGGCTAATATTTTTATTTTTATTTTTTGTAGAGACAAGGTCTCGTTTTTTTGCCCAGGCTGGTCTTGAACTCTTGAGCTCAAGTGAGCCTCCCTCCCCGATCCCCTAAAGTGTTGGGATTACAGGCATGAACCACTGCGCCCGGCCTTACACCTTGACTTTAATGCAAAACTTGTCAACTGGTGTGACCAGGCGAGTATTACAGGTGTGTCTCCTGACCTGTAACAGGTGGGGCCTGGACAGTGCCTCAGACTCCTGAGCAGTGTCAGCCATTCAGCCTGGGATTGCAAACAAATCTTAGCATTTTCTGCATGGGCTATGATTTGGAAAAAGATTTAAGGTGCTAAATGTCATAACAAGTATTACAAAATGCTTTGGAAGAAGAGAGGTGAATAATCTGCCCAAAGCACTTGAGAAGAGCTGGGCCTTGCCGGTAGCTAGGATTCCCACAGGCAGAAAGTGAAGAGAAGTGGAAAGTAATGATTTTAAAAAATACACACATGCTGTGATTCTGCAGTCCCCCTGATGGGAAGCTATTCTGCAGAAATTAAGCCAGCAGGAGGTAAAGACATATGTACAAAGATGTTTATTATAGCCTTGTTTGTTGTAGCAAAAGACTAGAAACAACATAATTATGTCAACAGCAGAATGGTTGAATAAATTATGGTATATCCATACTATGGAATGTCTGCAGCTTTTATTTTTATTATTCATTTGATTTAGAATTATGAGGTACAAGCGAGGATTTGCTACTTAGGTAGGCTGCATGCAGGTGAAGTTTGGGCTTCTAGCTGGTCCTCGCTCCCAGGTGGTGGACCAAGTACTCATTGTGTTGTTATGCACACCCCTCCTTCCTCCTTACCTCCCTCCACTTCCTCTCTCCCCCCCTTCCTCCCTTCCCCTCTTCCTCCCTTCCCCTGCTCCCCTAGCAGTGCCGAGGGACTGGTAATACCAACCTTGTGCTACTGGTTCAAGACCAGCCTGGGCATCAGCTTATAAGTGAGAACGGGAGGTATTCAGTTCTTTGTTTCTGTGATAGTTCACTTAGTATGACGTTCTCCAACTGCATCCAAGTTGCTGCGAAGGCCATGATTTTGTTCATTGGCAGCTTTTAAAAAGAATTAAATCTCTATATGTTGATCTGCAGTTGTAAAAACAAGTCACAATGGCAAGATAAATAGCTAGATCCATTTTTGTAAGGCAATGACTTATAAATGGGTGTTTGTTGATCTATGAATATGGAGAAAGGTGGACAAAGATATACCAGCTGTTAATATTGGTTATGTGGGTTGCAATGGTTAAGGGGATGGTGTTGGCTGATTAATTTTTCTTTTGTAGTTCTCTGTTCTATTGGTCTTGTTCCAATGGTCTTTTAAAATTGTCATTAAAGGCTGATGTTTGGAGCAGGAGACACAAACCCAGGGAAAGTGCAATAGATTGGAACTGAGTGTACACTTGTGAAATGTTAACTTCTTAAATGATTTCATTTCTATGGAAAAGAAAATTTAGTGCGTTTAGAACTTTATCTCCTTTCTGTTACTCTGTACTTTTCCCTTTTAATAATCTGACCTCGGTAAAGAAAGTCACATTCACCTGTACGTCTTGGCCTGGTGGTTTGAAGAATACTGAGGGTCAGGAGAAGGAGGATGGGGGTGACTAGCCCACCTGTATCTCTCTGCTGGTTACTTCCCCAGATCACCAGAGGTCCAGGTAGAGACCTAGGAAGAGCAAGCATTGGCGCAGACCTTGATGGGACAGTGGAGGCCAGGGAGTGGCTTCAAAGCTACAAGGCAAAGTCAGCACTCCTTCATTGCTAGAAGGGGCTAAGAGAAACAAGACATGCTCACGGTCATCCCAGCATTGACCTGCTGGGCTCCAATGATCCTTCCGCCACAGCTTTCCAAGTAGCTGGAACTACAGGTGCGAACTACCACTTGCGGCTCATTTTTTTATTTTTTTGAGTTGGAGTCTCACTCCATCGCCCAGGCTGGAGTGCAGTGGCACACTCATGGCCACCCCAGCGTCAACCTGTTGGGCTCAGGCGATCCTTCTGCCTCAGCCTTCCAAGTGACCGGAACTACAGGCACGCACTACCACACCCAGCTAATTTTTGATTTATGGTAGAGATGAGGTCTCGCTAAGTTGCCGGGGCGGGTCTTGAACCCACGGGCTCAGGCAATCCACTTGCCTTGGCCTCCCAAAGTGCTGGGATTACAGGCTGAGCCATGGAGCCCAGCCAAGGCATGCCTTGATAAACGTAATGATCACCCAGGGGTTGTCGTGCCATTTCCCGTCCACTGCTTCAGCATAATGTAGACTTATGCTATGACTTAGGAGCAACAGTTTCCTGGTGTGTGGGTGTTTCTGAATATCTGTGTTTCTATAGGCGGAGAACACTTCCACCTCTTGTTACTGTCCAAGTCCACCAAAATGTTTTCTAGCATGTTTACGACTATTTTTCAGAAGCCTCATTAGGTCAATTTTCCACCGTAGAGACTAGAATATGGGCTGTGCTTGGAACTCTACTTTGGGAAAGATTTCTTATTTTACAGACATGTCAACACAATGGAATGACTTTACTTAAAACACTATACTCATTCTAGTTCCTTCCTCCTCAACCTCTCTTTTAAAATAACACTCATTGTTGTTAGATTTTTTTGGTGTCGTTTGCCAAAGCACCACAGTCTCAATGTAGAAACTCGGAAAATTCAGTAATGCCCAAGCAACATTTTGGTACCATCGTTTGGAGATAGTTTTGAACATTTTTTTCTTTAAACGGTAACGGGGTGTTGCGAACTTTTTTGTAAACCACCTTTTTTCTTTTCTACCACTTTCTACTTTTTGGTTTTTTTTGGGGGGGGGGGCAAGGACTACCTTTCTCTACCCCGGGTCGCAATCCCAACCATCCCGGATTGCCGCCGGCAGATAGAGGGCGGGATACCGCCCCGCCCATCCGGAGGCCGCCGGGCCTAAGTGGGCGCGGCCCCTTTAAGGAGCCGGAGCTGGGGGGCGGTCCCCACGCTGATTGGCGGAGCTCGGAGCCACGTGGCCGTCTCGGGGCTGCTGCTCTGCGGCGGCGGCTGTCGGGGGGCTCTGGCGGGCGGGCGCCGCCTGTCCCCGCCGAGGGAGCGAGTTGGCAGATGTGCTTGAGGAGGTCCCTGGTCGGCCTCACCTTTTGTGCCTGCTACCTGGCTTCTTACCTCACGAACAAGGTGAGGGGGGCGAGCGCGGGAGGCGGTGATTGCACGTGGGAGAGTCGCGTCCCCTCATCGGACGGGTGACAGATGCAGCCTCAAGCTTTTTTTGTTTTTGTTTTTTTCCGGTTGGCAATGGAAAGGAAGCCGCTTCCGTGTGGGATGCTCTTTTACAAGTAGGATTTGTTGATCTGGGCTATCCTCGTTTCCCGCCCTGCAAAGCATCCTGTACCCTGTACGTCTCCTGGGAACCAGGATGTTTTGACTGATCATTTCCTGGGAGCTTTATTTTGGGTTGTGTGGACTACTTTCAAGGGAAAGCAATTGGTTCCTGTTCCCTCGGGGAAGGAGGAGTCAGAGAAGAAATCAGACACCTCCTACCTTCTTTCCAGATGCGCCCCTGCCGCAGAACCCAGCAAGGTTCTAGAAGCCTTTAAATAGAAGAGATTAATTCATCACCCCTCACACCAGCGGCTCCCAAATCGATTTTTATATGTCTCCATCCCAGGCACTTCCAGTATATTTAAGAGTTTTGGGTGTACTTTAAAAAAAAATAAAACGTGACTAAGTTTAAAATAGCTCATGAAACTCTTTTGATGAAGAGGCAGAGAAGTACTGATGCCATGTTTTGGTTGTGGTTTTGTTAGAGGGAAGCTGGCTTGGGTTTGGTACCTTGTTCCATACAGTGGGCGTGGCTAAGACTTCACCTGTTGGCCTGGACCCTGGGAGGACCTGAGCAGCAGTGGTGATACTGGGCCCAGGATCACCTTCCCCTACTGTGGCGTCTCTACTGCTGTTTCCCCACTTGCTCTGCATTTGCTTCTCCATTGCTCCCCATTCTCCCCATTTTCTCCCCCATCTTGCTTTCTGGGAAAGAACCAGCATTTCCTTATACCCTCTCTCTTAAAGTGATTACTTTCTTTAGTGTATTCAGAGGATGCTCCCCAGCCCTTTCTCCCTGACAAGTTGATTCTTAGTTATGGTGATGGGCCTTTGAAGATCCATAAATGCTGTCCTACTGGGAGGCAGTGATGCGTTTACATTCTAGCTGCGCTTACTTGGTCTTTGGGACATTCATCTCTCTAAACCTGAGTTTTTTAACTTTAAGATGGGATACAGTCTTCTTGAAAGGGTTATGAGGTTCATGGAAATGATGTTTGTAAGGTGGTTGGCCTGGTCCCCACCATGGTGGTAAATGCTCCAAAAGGTGTTAGTTACTCTGGAAGAAAAGAAAGGACAATCATTTGTTTATGGTGTGACATGGTTATTATTCGCTTTTAACAGATTTGCTTTATTCTCATGGGACATGTAGCTAAACTAAGATTATATATACTTATATTAATATATTATATATTAATATACTGTATATGTAATTATATATTAATATGATATACAATTGTCTACCTAATCTGATGGATATACTGATAACATGTTACTTTAAAACAGAATTACCTTCCTTTTATTTCCATATAATCATTAAATGGGGCAGATTGATGTCTTTCATGAAAGCCCACAAGCCATGACATTGGTTAGGCAAAAAACATTTTATCTAGGGAAAAAAAAGTCCAGCAGGCAAATAACATATAGTTTATAGATATCTATACCCAATAAATTAAAAATCGATGCCACAAATGCAAAAGCACACCTAGGGATACTGTCTAAAGAAGGAGAAGGTGAGCTCAAGAGTGAAGAAGAGGTGGGAGGGCCAGGTAGGGATGCAAGAGTTGGTTATACATCACAGAGAGGTGGTTGTGTCTCATGGGTCTCTGGTGAGGAACTTTGTAGCTCTTCGAAGCTCTGAACCTTTTTTTTTTTTTTTTTTGAGTCCAGGTCTTACTCTGTGGCTTAGGCTGGAGTGCAGTGGCATGATCACTGCTCACTGCAGCCTCTGCCTCCTGAATTCAGGCAGTCCTTCTACCTCAGGCTCCTGAGTAGCTGAGACTACAGGCTTTTAAATAAATTTTTTTGTAGAGACGAGGTCTCACTATGTTGCCTTGGCTGGTTTTGAACTCCTGGGCTCAAGCAATCCTCCCGCTTCAGTCCCAAAGTGCTGAGATTACAGGCATGAGCCACTGTGCCCAGCCATGAATGCGTTAATTTGATAAGAAAAATGCTAAAACCTCAGTGAAAATAAATGGATAAAAGGCACGGATAGTCAATTTATTGAAAAAAGAGATAGCAAGTGGATAATATGTATAAGAAATTTTTTTTTTTGGAGTTGGAGTCTCACTCTGTCACCCAGACTGGAGTGCAGTGGCTGCTCCCGGCCACCACAGCCTCGACCTGCGGGGCTCCGGCGATCCTTCCGCCTCAGCCTTCCAAGTAGCCGGAATTACAGGCATGCGCTACCACGCCCGGCTGATTTTTTTTTTTATTTATTGTAGAGATGGGGTCTCGCTGCCCAGGCAGGTCTTGAACCCTTGGGCTCAGGCAATCCACTCACCTCAGCCTCCCAAAGGTGCGGGATTACAGGCTGAGCCACCGAGCCTGGCTCATAAGAAATTTGCTTATACTCCTTTCAACGTCTCCCAACTTGCTCCTTCTCTTTCTCATATCACTGCTAAGATCTTGCTCTTCTGCTAAATAGCATTTTATCTGAGCGACACTTCTCAGTGACACAGGTAACTGCTGAAAGGAGACATGTGTAGGACTTAGATTCCATTTGTTATAGCTTTCATTTTTCTCTGTTCTTTAGTGAGGTGAGGAGAGAGGTTCAGGATCTTTGATCACCTTCAGTATCTAGGCCAAAGCTAAGCGTGCAATAAACTAAGTAAATATTTGTTGTCATAATGAAGCTTGTTAAGGATGTTACAGGACATGACTTAGATGCTTGCTTTTCTTTCTCCATTTTAGAATGAAAATATCAGGGAAAGAAGGGAGGAGCACATTGAATTCTGTGTTAAATGAACTTCAGGGAAGAATGATAAATGTGGAACAGAGCACAGACAGTTTTGCTGTAACTGTGGAGCTCAAACAGGGAATTCTACGTGGACTTATCCTTGGGGAGGAAAGTAGACCTGTAAACTTGCCCAACACTGGTCCACTTAATTTTTTTTAGGTCATGTGAAAAATCAGTAGAGTCCTTGCCTAAAGCTGTTTAATGGTTTTAGACTTTTAAAACATTCTTAAAGAGGCCAGTTGTGGTAGCTCACGTCTGTAATCCCAGTACTTTGGGAGGCTGGGGAGGAGGTTCTCTTGAAGCCAGGTGTTGGAGACCAGCCTAGGCAACCAAATGAGATCCTGTCTCTAACAAAAATTTAAAAATTAGCTGGGCTTGGTGGTGCATGCCTGTTTCCCAGCTCCGTGGGAATCTGAGGTGGGAGGATTGCTTGAACCCAGGAGTTTGAGGCTGTAATGAGCTGTAATCGCACCATTGCACTTCAGCCTGGGTGACAAAATGAGACCCAGTCTCAAAAAAAAAAAAAAATCCTAAAACGTTCAATAATAGGAAAACATTGAAAAGATACTCAGAAGGATGAAACACAATTTCTTCATTCATAAGGTGCCATAAGTTTATTTAAAAGATATAATAGATATGCGTAGGGCGCTTCACGGCGCGCAGGCGCAGGATGCCCCACAGGCTGGGAAGCTAAGCAGGGTCGCTCCTGGTGAGCCCTTGGATGGGAGACCTGACGCCCAGAGAAATGCGTATTGACCTTATCTGAGATAGGTTTTTTTTTTGTTTTTTTTTGAGTTGGAGTCTTACTCCGTCGCCCAGACTGGAGTGTACTGGCCACTCCCAGCCACTGCAGCCCTGACCTGCTGGGCTCTGGCGATCCTTCTGCCTCAGCCTTCCAAGTAGCTGGAACTACAGGCATGCGCTACCACACCCGGCTAATTTTTTTATTTATTGTAGAGATGAGGTCTCGCCAAGTTGCCCAGGTGGGTCTCGAGCCCACGGGTTCAGGATTTTTTAAAAATTTTGATTTGAGTCGGAATCTTACTATGTCATCCAGGCGGGAGTGCAGTGGCACCCCAGCCTCTACCTGCTGGGCTCAGGCGATCCTTCTGCCTCAGCCTTCCAAGTAGCTGGAATCACAGGCATATGCCACCACACCTGGCTAATTTTTTTTTATTGTAGAGATGAGGTCTCACCAAGTTGCCTAACTGGCCTCAAACCCGTGGGCTCAGGCAGTCCTCTCACCTCTGCCTCCCAAAGTGCTGTGATTACAGGTATGAGCTACTGTGCCCAGCTGAGATAGTTTTTTTTTTTTTAATCCTTAAACTGCCTACAGCACAGCAAAAATTATGACACCTATGCAGAATTAGTTAAAAAAAAAATCTTTTAATGCAAAACACATACAAAACCCTAAAAAAAAATTTGGAGAACTACAAAGGAAAGAAAGACAAGGATGTCGTTCTACTTGAAGAGAAACAAAGAAGGAACTGGATTTTTAGGTAAGCTAGACCATATAGTGGATACCCTGAGAAAACAGACTATGGCTAAGGATGTTTTCTCCAGAGTTGCTATGGTTGCAGCATGATGGTTCTGGCATCTGGGAAGATGCTGAGTGTTTGAGCATCTTCTGCATGGGACCCAGCTGCTGTGCTTTCCAGTTTGCTCATGATCCCAGCTCCATTTCCCAGTTAACAGTCTTTGGATGGTCCTGGGGAAAGCAGGCTCACTCCCTTAAGTGTGAGTTGGAAATTCGTTTGCCCAGTAGAAACAAGGTCTTGCTCTGTTGCCTAGGATGGAGTGCAGCGGTGTAATCGTAGCTCATTGTAACCTCAAACTCATGGGCTCAGATGACCCTCCCACCTCAGCCTCCTGAGTAGCTAGGACTGCAGGTACACACCACCACATCTGACTAATTTTTGTGTAGAAATAGGGCCTTGCTATGTTGCCTAGGCTGGTCTACAACTCCTGGTCTCAAGTGATCCTCCCACCTCAGCCTCCCAAGTGCTGGGATTACAGGCATGGGAGCCAACACACCCGGCCCCTTTTTCAAACTTAAATATACTTGCATAATGTGCTTATGTTTCTTCAGTAGGAATTTCTGTAATTTATGGTCTGTCAATTGTCTAATCATTTGAAATGTCCAATAATCTGGTATTTGTTTTTCAGTTTGTCCTGTCTGTCTTGAAATTTACCTATCCTACATTATTCCAAGGGTGAGTATCTTTTATGTTCTTTATACACATTATTAAATGTTCTTTGAAATAGTTTTAATAACTGTATAGATTTTTCGTCAAATAGACAGACTGTACTTTATTTAGCCATCCTATTAATGGGCATTTAAATTGTGTTCCCTTTTGGGAGTATAAAAGCAATGTTATCTGACATTTTTGTGTTCAGATCTGTCAAATTTCTAATTATTTATTCGGGATTGACTCCTACATAAGACATTTGGGCAGCTGCAGTGGGAGTAATTGAGCCCAGGAGTTTGAGACCAGCTTGGGCAGCATAGTGTGACCCTGTCTCTACAAAAAATCAAAAAATTATCTGGGCATGGTATGTGCGACTGTAGTCCTAGTTGCTCAGGAGGCTGAGGTGGAAAAATCACCTGAGCCCAGGAGGTCGAGGCTGCGGTGAGCCATGATGGTGCCACTGCATTCTAGCCTGGGCAACAGAGTGAGATTCTGACTCAAAAAAAGAAAATAAACTTGGGATTAAGTATATGAACTTCCTTAGTATTCTTGAATATTAACAAATTATTTTCCAAAAATTTTTTACCAATTTTCATTGCCACCTAGCCTGTATATGAAAATTTCTATAAATGTTACACTGAGACTTTGACTCTCTTTTTGATTTCATGAACAAAAAAGTATATTGTTTTGTTTTATAATTTCTTAGATTATTCATGAAGTTCAACAGTTTTCTCATGCATATTATTCAATCATATCTCTTTTTTCAGTGAATTGTCTATTTGTGCCTTTTTAAAAATGAAACTTTCAATACTATATATTTTTAAAAAGACAGACAAGGTTTCACTATGTTGCCCAGGCTGGTCTCAAACTCCTGGCCTCTATCAATCTTCCTGCCTTGGTCTCCCAAAGTGCTAGAATTACAGGTGTGAGCCACCATACCTAGCCTATTAGTGTCTTCTATCTATTTTCGTTTTTTTTTTTTTTTTGAGTTGGAGTATCACTCTGTTGCCCAGATTGGAGTACAGTGGCCGCTCCCGGCCACCACAGCCTCGACCTGCTGGGCTCCGGCGATCCTTCCGCCTCAGCCTTCCAAGTAGCTGGAACTACAGGCACTCGCTACCATGCCTGGCTAATTTTTTATTTATTGTAGAGATGAGGTCTCGCCAAGTTGTCTGGGGGGGTCTCAAACCTGTGGGCTCAGGCAATTCACTTACCTCGGCCTCCCAAAGCACTGGGATTACAGGCTGAGCCACCGAGCCCGGCTATCTATTTATTTTCACTAGGGTTTTAGTATTTCTTAAAAGTAATGTAATGAATTCTTCATATTTTAAGGATGCCAATCACTTATCCAACACATTTATTTGGAATTTTTTTTGCAATTCGTTTATAATTATTTTGGTTATGTAAATGTTTTATTTTTATGTGGACAAATATATTGATTGTTTATTTTTATTTATTTATTTATTTTTTGAGGCCACCTAGATCTTCCAAAGTGCTGGGATTACAGACATGAGCCACTGCACCTGGCCTGATTGTTTCTTTTATGATTTCTTCCATTGCTTTTTGTTTTTTGGGGTTGTTTTTTTTTTTTGTCTTTTCCTCAGTGTGAAGCTTCCATTGCTTTTATGTGTATTCTTCCCTATCACAAGATCATTTAGTCACCTACATTTCATTAAAGCTTTTTCAATATTTAATCATTGTTGGTTTATTTTAGCATATGGTGCAATGTCAGGAGATTGCCCCAGCCCCAACAGTTAACTAATGTATACTAGCCTCATCTGTTGTATAATCCTTCCTTTGGGTTGTTAATAGCATATACAGATGGTCCCAAGTTATGATGCTTCAATTCAGAATTTTTCAACGATAGAACCATATGCATTCAGTAGAAACTGTACCTCACATTTTGAATCTAGATCTTTTCCTGGGTTAGCGATACTCCCGTGATGTTGGATAGCTGCCACGCTAGTCGGCCACACTGATGTCAGTGTTCTGAGCTCTTTGAAGGTGGGCTGGGCTAAGCTATGGTGTGCAGCAGATTAGGGGTCTTATGTGCATTTTCAACTTACAATATTGTCAAGTTCTGATGGATTTGTCAGGACATAACACCATGTAAGTCAAGGAGCATCTGTATATAGTCTTTTTTCTTTCTTTCTTTTTTAAGTTGACATCTCACTCTGTCACCCAAGCTGAAGTGTAGTGGAACACTCGTGGCCACTGCAGCCTCGACCTACTGGGCTCAGGCAATTTTTCTGCCTCAGCCTTCCAAGTAGCTTGCACCACAGGCCCACCATACCCAGCTAATTTGTTTGATTTATTGTAGAGGCGCGGTTTTGAGCCAGGCTCGGTGGCTCAGCCTGTAATTCCAGCGCTTTGGGAGGCTGAGGTGAGTGGATTGGCTGAGCCTGCAGGTTCGAGACCCGCCTGGGCAACTTGGCGAGACCTCATCTCTACAATAAATCAAAAAATTAGCCGGGCGTGGTAGCGCGCGCCTGTAGTTCCAGCTACTTGGAAGGCTGAGGCGGAAGGATCTCCGGAGCCCAGCAGGTCGAGGCTGTGGCCACCGCACTCCAGTCTGGGCGACAGAGTGAGACTCCGACTCAAAAAAAAATAAATTAGCTGGGCATGGTGGTGCATGCCTATAGTTTCAGCTACTTGGAAGGCTGAGGCAGACGGCTCGCCGGACCCCAGCAAGTCAAGGCTGCAGTGGCCGTGAGCGTGCCACTGCATTCCAGTCTGGGTGACGGAGTGAGACTCCAACTCAAAAAAAAAAAAAAAAAAAAAGAGAGACCTGGTTTTGCCATGTTGCCCGGGCCGATCTTGAACCCACGGGCTCAGGCAATCTTCTCATCTACATTTCCCAAAGTGCTGTGATTACAGGCGTGAGCCACCATGCCTGGCTGTCATTTTTCTAGATTCTCTTTGGGTAAACTCAAGAATTACTTTGTCAAGTTCCTCCCTAATATATCATAGCAAACTTTTTTTTTTTTTTGAGTCAGAGTCACACTCTGTCATCCAGGCTGGAGTGACACAATCATGGCTTATCACAGCCTCAACCTCCTTGGCTCAGATGATCCTTCTGCCTCAGTCTTTTGGGTAACTGGAACTATAGGCACGTGCCACCACGCCTAGCTAATTTTTTTTTTTTTTTTTAATATTTTGTAGAAACGAGGTCTTGCTATGTTACCTAGGCTGGTGTCAAACGCCTGGGCTCAAGCAATCCTCCTGTCTTGGCCTCCCAAAGTGTTGGGATTATAGGCATGAGCTACGGCACCCAGCCCACACAAACGTTTTAAAAATATTTTCTGCCATTATGCATATTTTAATCAATAAAGCTGGGATACTGTTTTCTCAGTGAGTAGCCAGTGTTTCCTGGTCCTGGTGTCCTTTTACGTCTCTCCAGGTAGAAATTCTGTGGAAAAGGATGTTGTCTACACCTGGGTTGCCTTTCCCCTGGTTGTCCATGGACAAATTAAACTGAATGCATCTCTTCCAGTAGAGTGTAAGATCTACAAAGATATTGCTTTATCTGTTTTAATTTGTCCATGGACAAATTAAACTGAATGCATCTCTCCCAGTAGAGTGTAAGATCTACAAAGATGTTGCTTTATCCGTTTTGCCACTGGAGTATTCCCAGTGCCTAGAACAATAAATAGGAGGTGCACACTAGGGCAGAATAACTTATGCCACAAGTATTTATTGGCACATCCTGTGTGCTAGGCACTGTTCTGGACACTTGGGGCACAATGATGAAGAAGACAAAGATCCCTGTTCTTGTGGAACTCGTTTTTTCTGTCTGTTCCTTTCATTTAACTGTAGTGAATGGCACCCTCTATCCAATTACCCAACTGAGAAACCTGGGAGTTATAATTGATTCCTTTGTCTCATTCATTCTCCATCTCTGGTTAACCACCAGGGCCTCCTGGACATCTTTAGAATCCGTCCACCTTCTTCATCCATGTTGTCCCTTGCTGGGCCACTGTCATCTCTCAAATTACATAAAATCTTCTAACTTGCCTTCTCATCTCCAGTCTTACTTCTCTCAAGCACTTTTTAATTTTTTTTGTGGTGTAGTCTCACTCTGTTGCCCAGGCTGGAGTACAGTGGCATTATCATGGCTCACCGCAGCCTTGACCTCCCAGGCTTAGGTGATCCTCCTGCCTCAGCCTCCCAAGTAGCTGGGACTATAGGCATGTACCACCATACCTGGCTAATTTTTAAATTTTTGTAGAAGTGAGATCTTGCTATGTGATGCAGGCTGGTCTCAAACTCCTGGGCTCAAGCAATCCTCTTGCCTTGGCCTCCCAAAGTGCTGGGATTACAGGTGTGAGCTACTGTGTCTTGCCTCAAGTACATTCCCGTCCTTGTAAAGAGAGGGAGTCTCCCCTGATGTGAATACTACAGTGTTGCTCCCATGCTTAAAGCCTGTCAGTGGGTCCCCATGTTGAAGTCCCAGCTTCTTACTGTGATTGATGTGGCCCTTCAGGACCAGCCCCTCCTCTCCAGGGTCAGCTCCTGCCACTCCCTTCTCAAATGGTCACATGTTAAGGTCTAGACCAATTGAATTTCTTCTAGAAACTTTGAACAAGCCATTGTCTCTCTCACTTCTGTGCCTGTGTTTCCTCTGGCTCTTCTACTTTGAATATGCTTCAAGTTTTTGCAAATGTACCTTCTCTAGGAAGTCTTCCTGCTCACCAGACTAGGCGATCTGCCTTCCCTAAGGTGTTGGGAGCCAGCCACAGAGGCCCACTGAGCATTAGGGATCAGGAAGGGCTGTTGACCCTGAGACCACTAGGATGCGTTCAGGAGCTATTGACCCCATTTCCTCCCCCTTTCTACTCAGCACTAACCAGATTAAGCTCCTGTGAGCTCAAAACATAAAAACTCTGAGACCGGGACGAACACAAGCTAACTTTAGAAGCTCATTGCTCCCATTCTTCCACAAACTGCAGTTTTGGCTTTCACACAACTTACAATTCAAACTCGGGTCACATCTAAGAGCCTTAGTATTGGTCACAGGCTTCTGGGTCATGATCTTAGGATTTATTGAAGTTGAAAAAGGTGTAAATTGTAGAATATAGTTTTAGAAGACAGCCATTTTGTTGAAAGAATGCGGCTGGGTTACTTGCAGGTAGCCCACTGTGAACTTTGGACTGGGCCACATTCCAAACATTCTGGGATGGGCCTCTTTAGTTTGTAAAGTAAGTACTTGAGTCTCTATAGAATTGTTTAACTTGGCATTAGTACGAAAAGGGTCTATAGGCAATATGAAAAGGGTTTATAGGCAGTACGAGAAGGGTTTAAAGGCAGTCATGGATTAAGGTTTCATGGATTAGGTTTAACATCTGTTATGGGATTATACCTGAAAGAACATCTGGTGGGTGGGGAACGCCCCTCACACACCTGACTGTGTATAAAAGACCCGTTGTAATTCCCAATAAAGGGCTTCTGCACTAAACAGGGGTCCAGTCTCCTTCTTTCTCTCTCTCTCTCTCTCTTTCTTCTTCCCCCCAATCGCCGACGCCATCTCCACCTTTGAGGTACCCTGAACCTGGCAGGAGCTGGACTCCCGCACTAAGGGACTTGTAGGACCTGCTACTCTTCCTGGTGGGCTTCATCACACTTGATTGTAATTATTCGTTCATTATCTTACTTTCCTGTTGACAGGGTTTCTTAACCTCAGGATAACATTCCAGAATTGACACTTGAGTTGGATTCTTTGCATGGGGGCTTCTCTCACATTGTAGGATGCATGGTGGTATTCCTGGCTTCTGTTTACTAAGTTCCAGTGGCACACCTACCCCTTCCATCCCAGTTGTGACAACCAGAAATTTCTCTAGACACTGCCAAGTGCTCCCTGGAGAAAAAAATTGCCTGGTTGAGACCAAGCTGTGAGCTCAGCTCACGTTTGATCTGCTGTGCTTCGCTGGGCCAGGAAAGCTTCACAGAGGCAACACTGGGTCTCACCAGCTGAGCAGGTGCTCACCCGAACTCAGGGAGACAGGAAAAACGTTATGGGGCGAGAGGATGGTGCACCCATACTCCTAGAAGTGGGACATGGCCTGGCACATTCTCCAGGTGTGGGCCGTTCAGTATGGCTGGAATGTGGCTGTCCATAGCAGGAGAGGGGCAGTACAAGTCCCAGACGGCTTGTGTGTCACACACAAGTTACTTTGTCCTGTAGGCCAAGGGTTCTCAGCTGTAATGTCGCAACACATGGGTGTGTTGTAGTTACCGGCGAGGTGAGATGTCTCAAGTCATTTATTTATCACTAGAAATAGGGTTTTGAAATCTATGGATGATTCACCTAAAATTAAAAAGCAGTTAGAGTTAGACAGTCTCTCTACTCATTTGGCATTTTGATGTGCTTTCTGCAGTGAGAGAGGGAGGGGTGCTTATAACCTGTGCTGCCCCCACTCTGCTTGCCGGGGGCAGGGTGTCTCATGGGAGCTTCATGACCCCCAAGTGTGTTGTTGGTAGAAAAGTGGCTGAGGGTTGCTACCTATGGCACCAGGAAGAATCATCTGTTTTTTAAACAAATGAGTAACACAGATTTCAGTTTATTTTTTATTTTTTTTGAGTCAGGGTCTTACTCTTTTGCTCAAGGTGGTACAGTGACATGATCATGACTCACTGCAGCCTCAACCTTTTGGGCTTTGGTGATCATTCCTCCTCAGTCTCCTGGGTCGCACCCCCTACAGGCATGCACTCCCATGCTTGGCTGCTTTTTAAAATTTTCTGTAGAGATGAGGTCTTGCTGTGTTGCCCAGGTTGGTCTTGAACTCCTGGGCTCAAGCAATCCTCCCACCTCAGCCTCCTAAAGTGCTGGGATTACAGGCATGAGCCGTGTACTTGGCTGAATTTCATTTTAAAACAAACCCTTGAACTGCAAAGTAGAGTATGAGAATTGAGGAAGAACCAGGGAGTGGGGGTTAATTAGGGGACCAATGCCATGGGCGAGCTGTGAGATGATGAGACCTTGAATTAAGGCAGAGGCAGGAGGGGTGGAGGGCAAGGCTTCGGATTTCAGCTCTGGTATGGGCTTATATAAAATCATTAAGATTTTGCTCATAGATGTTGGAGGGGAGAGCAGAGGTAGGGCTGTGATGCTGTGTAGGTTTCTGGTTTGGCTGCTGAGGGATAGGGAGGATGATTCAAAGGGGAAGTTCAAGGTGTTGTTTTGGGCATGTTATAATTAGGAGTTTGTGGGAGATCACAGCAGCAGTATCCTGGTGAGAGAGAGGATATGGGAATCTTTAGTACAGTGGCAGTGGGAGAAGCAGTGGCTATGGGTAGGGGTGTTCAGGGAAAGTCTGGAACAAGCATGTGCAACCCACAGCCCTCAGGCTGCATGCACCCCAGGACGGCTAGTCATGTGGCCTCACAAAATCTTTTAACATCATGTGTTTTTAGCATTTATTTTCTTCATGACCCCATGTGTGGTTTCATTTTTGAAGTTCACAATTATGTCTTATTCATGACATCGCTTTTTGGTAGCACATATATTTGTGAGCAGCTGTTTTCAGTTATGAAGCACACGAAGAGCAAAATATGGACAAACATTTCTGACGAGCACCTTGAGAACTCACTAAGAATTGCGACCACTTCCATGGAACCAGACACTGATAGATTAGTTTTACAAAAACAAGGTCAAATTTCTCAGTTTTATATTGTTCTCATTTTTTTCCCAAAACTTTAGAATTAAAAAAAAAGTCTTACTGTACATATACACTAACTATATTATATGATTTATGTGTGACCCAAGACAATTTCTCTTTGCTCCATGTGGCCCAGGGAAGCCAAAAGGTTGGACATCCCTGATCTAGAAGAAGAAGAGAAGAATATCAATATTTGTACTTACTGGACAGCTGGATTTAAGACAGTAGTGGAGATTGAGAAGGAAAGATCTGAGAAATGGGACAATTGGGATAGAGTGGGAGGAAGGAATTGTAACAGGGCTGAGTGTGTCTGTTTGTGTCAGTCAATAGATCGGTCGGGGCTTGATAGCATTTGAGGTCATGGCTCTATTAAATTCACATGAACTCTTGTCCTTTTCAGGTGGCAGACGTTCATTGGTGGACTTTTGCTCCATGTGTCATGGAAACTGGGCTGGGTGGAGATCAACAGCAGTCCAAGGTATAACAACCCCTCTGTGCTTGATTCGTGATTCATGCCCTGCCTTTTGCTGTTATTTAATTTCTTATGGTTTTATACCAGGAAACACGGATGTTTGTATGAGTTGCTCATCTCCTAGTTCCCTTCAGACCTTGAGATTCAGTTATTTTATAATCAAGTAAAACTCAAATAGTGTTTTCCTGGTTAATAATGCCACTGATGTATAGTATTAAAATTAGTTGAGATATATATTTTATAATGTCATATTAATTTTGATTTGTTTTAGATCATAGAAGCACTATGAATGAAATTTTTTTTTTTTTTTTTTGAGTTGGAGTCTCA